ACGAGCGCTAGAACCGACGCCCGAGAGATTCTTACAACCGAGAGCACATGGACGAGGCAGCGGGGGACCTCGAGGTGTCCCGTTCAGGCCAGAAGAAGAACTCGAAGCAAGTAAAACTCTGTCGCTGGAAACTCTCGGTCCAGAAACTTTCGCAAACTGTCCGTCTTCGTCCCGGGTAAAATTGCTATCGGCCAATCCTGAGAGCAGAACCAGGTCCCCACTCGGTTTCTTCACCTTGCGACCCCAATCCACGTGATCTGGAGTATCCCGGAGAACGCGACCATAATTAAGCCCTTTGCGCTGGACCGAAGCAAAAGCAGCATCATGACTGGGAACAGATCCCCCTCGAACTCCTCATCAGAAGCGCTAGCCATAAAGTAAGATTCGGTCAACCGAACAGCCGTGAACTCAAGAGCAGCCCCCTGGGCCTCTGCAGAGGTCTGACGACTCCTCCCCTGGAGCTCTGCATGTCCCTGAACCCGAGCGGCTTCGGTCGTTCCCATGCAACTCACGCAGACATGACTCTCCACGTGGCGATGCTGCAAGCTACACTGTCCGCGACGCTCCCCCCCCTCTCGCGCGCGAGCCCTGCGACGCACGGCGCGAGCGTAGAAAGAAAAGCAGAAATCAGAAGCGCCAGGATCCATCATCGTCGACCCCTCCTTGCTCCTAATGACGCGATGAGGGATTGATGATGATGATGCGGCAACAGAACTGACGGATGCGAACTCTCGTTCGTCATCGTCCTCGGGCAACTGGACACGGCGCTCGCCGGTGTCTCCGGCGCGGGCTACCATTGCCTTCCTGCGCTCGCCCTTGAATTCAGAGTCCCCGGACCAGTGGCCTGTTCCGTGGCGGGTCTTGGATTTCGAGTGTTTCTTGATCTCCTGGAGCCGCTTCTTGCGATCTTCCAAGGGAGGCCCCCCTTGCCACCTCCCCTGGGCGACAAAGGCGTGCAGTGGTAACCCTTTGCCCCCGCTCTTTTCTCTGCCCTTGCCCCTCCCTTTGGCGCCCGGGTTGGCGACCGGGTCCTCTTGGGTCGCGTCGGAAGCTTCTTCCTCCGCGTATCCAGTCTTGGCCATCTCGTCGACCACCTCGACGTCGAGCTCGCTGCTATCCTGGACAAGAGCCCAATGAGCCTGCGATCCCCCGTCGACGCAGGTGTGTTCGTCGGCGTAATCGTCCCGGGCCGTGTGGCCCCAGCCGTGGCCTGGCGCGTAGCCGGGCGCGCAGTGCCCATAGGGGCTCAGCTCCTCAGGGTAATGCCCCTCCTGCTCGTACCATCCTTCATCAGCGGTGTAGAGGGCGCATTGTGGTCTGGAGAAGCGCGCCTTGCCCTTTACCTTGCTCCTGTTCTGGTAGCTGGGTCTAGGCTGCGTCCACGTCGAAGAGCTGGAGCCTTCGCCGGACTCACCCTTGCCTTTTTGGCGGATGTGTACGCGGCCGCGTTGGAGGATCAAGACGTCCTTGATCTTGTCGAAGGTTGTCGCATTTCCTGTGGATGCCAACGCCGTCAGATTCACCGAAGGCGAGAGGCTTGCAATGTCCAAAAGAGGGAACCACGCATATCGTCGCTCATCAAGATCGTATGATCAAACTTGGAGACCAGTTTCCACAAACATTTCCTTCGGGCGATGGACGAGATTATAAACTCATCATGCTGCCGAGACAGCGGTCCATATGGTCTCTGCCGCACCTGGAACAGGATCTTCGCTTCCTGCGCCTCTATGGGGAAGAGTACAGCACAAATCGCCGACACCAGCTGATCGATCCCATTCAGAATCAAAAACCGTCGTTACAGATATCCATGGTAATATCGAATGCGCCACCTCTGCGGCTTTCTACAACCTTGTTGACAACTGCGGTGATCACGCGCGGCTGTGGTACACCCGTCTTTTGATCCACTGAGGCCAAGGCGGCACTGATGCGAATCTCTTTGCGGAGTTCACACTTGTGAAAGTTGTCCACCGTGCCGTCGTAGATGTCGGAGCCACTCTTCGTCTCGGGCCGCGTCAGCACGTCGGCGCTCGGCCGATAGCGAAGACAAGAAAGCGCCACGGCGCAAGGCTCAATCCCCTAGCGAGGGAAACTGCCAGTACAGGAAGTAACTATAGGTAGTGCGACACACTCTGACGAGACGTGCGCGCAGTGGTACGATACGGGGATCGTGTGGTAGCTCCGCTATCGCTGTGATTATGATGCGTTTTAGCGCAATGGCAAGAAGGGGCCCCTAGAGGTCAAACGGCAGCGAGTGGTGCATATACACACGTGACACATGCACTATCTCACAGTGTGTCTTCCCCGGGCCGGAACTTCGCTACACACACGCCGTAACTATGTGCACGACCAGCGTTTACTGCGAATAGTCACCTGAAAACGTACATGCCTTGACGGTCTGGCGGGTCGGGCTGGCATTCGACAGGTGGCGAGAACACACAGCTTGAACAGAGGAGTGGACGAAGTCAGCGTCTATGAAGATCAAGACAAGCATTGACCTGACAATCCTTCTACGCTGGCCCGAGCACGGCCTCCAGCACACCCAAAAAGGCGATCGATGAAGGCGATTGGTAGGCCAGCCGCCTCAAGTTTGTCGAGGAGCCGGATGACCAGGGAGGAGGAAAAAGCAAACCAGGACAGCCTGTTGTCGGCTGTTTGGCGGCGCGCGCAAAGACTTTGCGTGAGGGGGGCGGCCTTCCAAGAAGGCGAAGAGCTCCTCAGAAAGCCAAGGGTCCTATTACAAACCGTCCCAGCTTCTGAGAAGGTTTCTCGGAAGCCCTAAGCATCGACCTGTAATCGGCAGTACAATGCCGATAGATCGGCGATGTGCCTCAGAAAGCAAATCCGAACCTTCCCTGGCGGGGTGGGCAGTCGGGCCCCTGCCGGCGATCAGATGGTCACCCCCCTGGACGTATCCCCCCTGTCGTGCGCGCTCGCCGCGGAGGAAGAGCGGCTGGCCGCCCCAGGGCCCCACCCCCACATGGGGCCCGCCAGGGCGGCTGCCCGACCACGGCGCTGCCCACTTCTGGGAACTTGTCCCAATTGGCGTCGTCCTCGAACGCCACTTCCGCCTGGGCGGCTCAGGGGTTGGGGCCTGGAGGATTGCAGAGAGGGTTAGGGGTCAGGGCAGAGGGGATTGGCCCGACCACATTCTGAATCCCTTTTTCCGATCGCTGGAGCAATAGTTCAACGCAGTAGTTCGGCTCAAACCACCTTTGCCCTGATCTCCGGAACCCTCCGTCGGGGACCAAGTCGCTTTCATCAGCTGCGCCTCATCGGCGGACGCGCCGCCGCGGAAGCGCGAGCAATTACCCGACAATGAAAACTTGACCCAGGCCTCCGACGCCTTCAGAAAATCACTCGTGACGCACCCAACACATTCTGCAGGCGAGGTGGTTGTTTGATGTAAGCGCATGCTACACGTGAGCAAATTGCAAAATATGCAGCGCGCGGGGAGGCGACGCGAAACAACGTCGGGCCACGTGCGTCGCACACCTGCGCAACGTAAAACGGGGGACGGAAGTGGAAGAGGAGGAGGAGGAAAAGGGGGCGAGGACAAGGAGGATGGAGAACAACGGGAGAAAAAAACAGGTAATGGTAACAACGCCATGCGTTACATTTGCTCGGTTCGCCCATGCTGCCGCAACGGGCGACAAACAGCTCAGGACAGGGGGCGGGGGGAAGGGCCACTAAGGACAACGAAATGCGCTACGTGACGCTCTGGCGCCATGCGCGCTGTGATGCAAAAGCGCTGCGCGCTGCATGACGGGGCAGCGCCAACCGCAACGCGCCATGTGGACTCGTTCCCTTTCATACTCGACTGGTAATCGCCCGTTACAGACATCGCTTGCGGCGCCGCCGAAGCTGCAGCCAATGCGCGCGCTCGCCCAAAACCTGTTTGCGGCGCCCCTTCCAAATGGACTGCTTCCTGCAATTCTACCGGACCTCCCATGAGCCCACGAAAGTGGCGACAATTGTGAAAAAAAGGCAGCCGCCCAAGGAGCTGCGAGGTCTCGGCTGAGCTGGTCTGGGCCTCCCAGGGACACGAACATTATAATATTCACACAATTTGCAGCCGCCGACAGAACCGCGAGGTCCTGTGTGGATCCGCGTGCAATTCCACTCCGCTGGACCTCCCAAGAGCCCACGAAAATGGAAACAATTGCGCCATTCGCTGCCGCCCATGGAGGTGACAAAAAAGTACCGTCTGGACCCGCGTGCATCTCCTCTCCGATGGACTTCCCAAGAACCCACGAAAATGGCGACGATTGCGCAGTTCGCAATCACACAAGAATCCGCAAGGTCCTGTGCGGATTCGCGTGCGACTCGACCCCGCTGGACCTCGATAGAGACCGCGCACGTGGCAGCAATTGCGCAGTTCGCAGCCACCCAGGGATCCGCGAGGTCCTGGCTGGATCCTTATGTTACACCACGCTGCTGGCCTTCCCAGGAACCCGCGAAAGTGGCGACGGTTGCGCAGTTGGCAGCCCCCGGAAGGTAAAACAGGAGGAGGGAGGAGGAGGAGGAGGGAGGAGGAGGAGGAGGAGGAATAGTGGATGCACTGGACTGCCGAGAAAAGAAGCCCGCGCAGAAGTCCGGGCTGAAACACCCAAGGAGCAAAGCTCCAGCCGTCAGACCTGATGGCCGGAGAACGGGACGGGTGTTTCTGCAATTGTACTGCGTTCGTTTCTTTAGCGGCATACCGCCGGCAAAAAGAGGAGGAGGATGAGAAGGGGGAGAAGGAGGAGGAGGATGGGGGAGGAGGAGGAGGAGGAGGCGGGCACAAAGCTCGGCGAGCAGGCGCGTGCACTTGGACTCTAGGCCTGTAGACGATGCAGCGCTGCGATGCGTGCGGCCGCGATCGCAGCGTCGTGGACAGGCAGGCCGCTGTCGATCCGCCACTTTACGATATGAAACAGTTGCGTGGCCAACGCCACCGCGCGCGCGCAGGTCTTGCGGGCGCGCGCGCGATGCTCGCGCGGGTGGCCGAGCCCTAGGAAGACAATTCCATCCTTCAACTCACTCGGCTCCGCAGGGGCTGCGACCGCGCTGCGGAGCTTCTCGCAAATCGTGTAGAGCGCCAGGTCGCCCTTGGCGTCGCAGCCGAAGATGCGCGGCCGCGGGGCGGTGACGTGCATCCTGCCCGAGGTGATCCAACCGTTGACCGCCGCGCGGAGCCGCGACCGCAGCCATGAAGGGCGCGCGTCACGCAGAACAGCTCGGGGCCCCAGCGATCGGCCGCGCGGCTCCTCGGGGGGGATCTCGACGCCCCAGCGCCGCAGGCGGCGGCCGATGAGGAGGTCGAGGCGGTCGTCGTAGAGGCCATCCCCCAGGGCGCTCATGGCCGCGGCCTGGCGCTTGACCTTCCTGGGCGGGGCGGCAGCGGCGGCGGCCAGCTCCTCGTCGGCCATCGCTCGGCGGGCCGCCTCGACGGGGGCAGGCGGGGCAGGGGCGGGCAGCTCGTCAAGCTCGGGGCGCGGGTGCGGGAGGGTGCGGAACACTCCATCACGGGGCCGTAGTTCTGGGCGATGGCGCGCTTGGTGGCCCACCAGGGCGGTGACCGCGCGCCCCGATGCGCGCGAACCAGCGGGGGGTGCTCGACCGCCGTCTCGCGCAATGATCGCAGCGCAGGGGCCCAGCCGCGCGCAGCGCGGGCCGCCGCGCGGAGGGCGGTGGCGGCAGAGCGCGGGGGCACGCCCGCAGGCGCGGGAGAACCGCGCCACGCTCCCATGGCCAGGGCGTCCGCCGTGCGCATGGGCGAGGGCGGGAAGCGAAGAAGGCGGCGGGGCATCGTGAACTCGACCCGCCAGATCTCGGGGGCGAGGGAGAAGAACTGTGCCAGGTAGGAGAGGCACGGGAGCACGTTCACGTTGCAAGCGCGGGCGGCAAGGCTGGTCGCCATGCCCGCGCGGCTCAGCTCCGCAGCCCGAGACCACCGCTTCGCCGCAGCATCCCCCCGCGCGCC